TATAAATTAATTAATTTTTACTTAATATTTACCAGACTGACAGATTTCTACATTTAAATGATTGCTTCATTTAAAATAATATTTACAGGATTTCAGCTCATGTAGTCATTTAATACTAGGGTTGGGCAATATTGGCAAAAAATTAATCACGATTAATTGGGGTATTTAGCCAATAATGATTAATTTGACGATTAATCTCCTGGAGTTCCTGGACACCCTTACGTCCTGGTCACATGATCAATTAAGTGGGAAATGTTAGCGTTTGAAAAATCTGTTCCAAATTGTGTCAAAATTACAGACTTCAGGCTATACTTCAAATTTTAAATTGTGTTGATAGATAAATAAAATATGTAACTTTTTTTCTAAATGTTCGTCGTAATTGAAGCAGAGAGGAGCACCGAGCGGACTCTGCCTGGTGGCATTAATCACATTAATCGTCAAGTGCAACAAAATAATCGATTAATGTTTTTCTGATGATTAATTGCACACGATACGATTATGCCCAACCCTATTTAATATATTTTATTTTTCGCATTTACTGAATCACAGTAGTTACCTCTCAGTATGGTTCTAAATAAGCTTAGCACAAAACAGCCACAACGCCTTGTTGTTGCTAAAATACCTTTTAGAGTAAGATTTTACAGATATTTATGATAAACCAACACCTGAAGCTGACTCACAGAGAACTCTGGGATTTCACGGGGAAATTAAAAGTCAAAATGAGACACATGTCTGTTATAATCTGAGACATATAAATATTTGTCTTTTTATGTATTATTATAGCTAGGGCTGCATGACATTGGAAAAAAACTGACAATTTTTTTCATCCTGTTGCAGATGAACCTGCATTGATCTTACCTTTTTTTGTGTGTGTTTACAAATACGTTTTGTCTGTATTTGATAGTTATTCTTATATTTTTGCTTGCTTTTATTATGCAAAGACCTAGATCTTTCTACCGTACACAAATGTGAATTGCGTTTTACCAATAAACCTAACGTGTCTCTTAGTTCTTGTTTTCATCATGCTTTAATATTAGCATTCATGCTAAACCCTATTTTACATCTTTTCAACCTCATTTTCTCTCATCGTCTTTCACCACAGCTCAAGAATTCAGACAGTTTTTTTTAAAAAGTGCTGCCATTATTGTCCCAGAAACTTTGACAAAGGTCTTTTTTACATGAAGTGGCAAGAGCTGCTTCCGCCAGCGAAAATCAATCAAATATCAATCAGAAAGCACAACCCTTCCTACTCTGCTCTGATTGGGTAAATGTTCACTGTGGTTCTCTTTATTGGTTGAAAGAAAAGTGGGTTTAATCCCTGGATGGCTTTAAGAAGACCACAACACATTTTGTCCCATTTCATTTTTACAAATAATGGACATATGTCCTGGCGAAGAACTTCCAGGTCTAGCAGACAGGATCTAGTTGTCCAAAGCTGGCATCTCACTGAGCTGCGACTAGTTTGTGACACAAAATTAAGAGAAAAATTGCAAGAAAATAAGTGAATTTCCCAGTGGTCTTACTGAACTGAGTGTTTGTGACCAGGTGACTGATGAGCAGTGTGGACATGATTTGTGCAGCCAGTTTTTGGAGGAAAAAAAAAACGCAGCCTTTTTTTGTGCCTGCAAACTGCATTCTTGGCCATGCACAGTATTTTGTTGTCTATGTACGTCCGCATCATACCCACCTCAGCTGCAGCCATATTAGGGTTGGGCATAATCGTATCGTGTGCAATTAATAGTCAGAAAAACATTAATCGATTAATTTTTGGCACTTGATGATTAATACGATTAACGCCAGCAGGCAGACTGACTGCTTGGTGCTCCTCTCTGCTTCAAATATAACAAACATTAAAAAAGTTGTGTAATTTATTTATCTATCAACACAATATAAAGTTTGATGTATAGCCTGAAGTCTGTAATTTTGACACAAATTGGAACAGATTTTTACAAAGAGCCAATTTTCTCCTTTTAAAATGGTCATGTGACCAGGACATAAGGGTGTCCAGGGACTCCGGGGGATTAATCGTCAAATTAATCGTTATCGGCTAAATACCACAATTAATCGTGATTAATTTATTTGCCAATATTGCCCAACCCTACGCCATATTTACAATTTAATCTGCTGCTATTATTACTGATCATCTGAGTGGTTTTTAGACCTGGACCTTGGGTGATTTCTTTGAGTGGAGATGTTAAAATATACCTCCAACGCTCCAGACGGTTTGGGGATGTCCATAACGACTTAGTGACTCTTTCAAGAGAACAGTTGTTGCACAAATTTTGTTAGGGATGCACAATATATCAGCAATAATATCGGTATCAGCCGATATTCGTCATTTTTTTAGAATATCGTATCGGTCCGATATGTAAAACTGGGCCGATATTAATGTCAGATATTGACTTCCCACTTCTTTGCTTTGTTTTTTTGTTTGTTTGTTTGTTTTGTTTGTTTCTTTTAGGAGTGGAGATGGTTGGTTGAGCATCTGTTTGATCATGATAGTGTTAGTGACGCTGCACGGCCAGAAATAACTGAAGTAGGGAGTCATGTAAGAGGTCTGGTCATTTTTTTATGTTATCAAAAAAAGAGCCGAGTGTGTTTGTGTGTATATGTATAATACAATTTGTGTGTTTGTGTAATATCTGTAAATATCAGTTATCGGCCATAACGGCAATTATTATATCGGATATTGATATCGGCTGAAATTTTCACATCGGTGCATCACTAATTTTTTTTAAAACATGTTCAGAACTCAAGCGACAAGACTGCATGTCTCTGCAACTATCACGAGGAAGATAAGAACGCCACACGCCAACTGGTCAGTCCAGTGAGATACCAGCATAAATAACCATCATTATCTGTACTCAGGCCTTGTTTAGCTTGATGAAGCCCGCTGTGCACCGTGCCGACCTTTGTGTTCACCAAGATCTACCAGACATATCTGTCCATAAGTCGTTTCATTCACCTCTGTAAATTTTATAACCGCAATTATTTTATGAAGCCAGAGGAAGACGCATAAAGTATTAATTGTAAACTTGTGTAAGCTTTGAACACAGCAGAGGGGGTGTTGATGTGTTGACGCCTTCTTCCAAATCCCTACCTAAAAGCCTGCTATGAACGAATGCTGAAAAGACAAAAACGAAGTAATCGCTGCACGCGTGTGGAAGAATAAAGCAACCTTAACAACCCTAAAAACGCCACGAGACATTCAGGAGATTCCCCACATGACTGCCGTCCACCAACCAGTCACATCCCGTGAGATGCGAGCCTATATAACCATCCACTATTATTCAAATGACCTGAAGACCACAAGGAGGGAGGAGGGGAGGGGTGTCTCTGTAATTACAGCAACCTTCGAAGTGCATCAGAGCACATCTACGGACCCCGAGCTGGCAGCTGGTGAGCACAGTGCACAGCTGCATGCAGTGCACAATCCCCATTACATGATTAGACCCCGCATGGCAGGCAGGTATGTGAAGAGGGTCAGTAGTGCGATTATTACCCACTCTGGATTTGCAGCACATCACATTAAAAACAGCTCTGAGACAGTCAGGGTGCAAAATGCAAACCCCTTACAGGAAGACCCTCTGAGTGAGATGCAGTGGTGGTGATGGGGGCGTACCTGTGTGGCCTGTCAATGATCTGAGAGTCAGCAGGAAGCAGGATACAGGCGGGCAGATGCTGCAGTGCATCCTTCCAGGTGCACAGTACAGTCTGCACTCGGGGTTGGGACTAAAAAATGTGCAAAAAATGCGTTCTGGAATAAAAGTTGTAAGTAGGGCTGCCACGATTAATCAATTAATCGATGACTAATTTAATAATCGATTAATCGTTTTCTTTTTTTTTTGTTCTTTCCTTTGTTTTTCTC